GTCCTTTGCCCAGTTTTCCCCAGTTTTCCCCAATGGTGATATCTTGAAAAATGATACTACAACATCTTGATATAGTCTACCTACATTGTTCAGATTTCCCCAATTTTAGGTATATAGCAGGATAAGGAGAGAGGGAGAAAGGAAAAGGGAGAGAGAGAGAGGAAACTGCAAAACAAAATTTCAAAACTCATAAGGAATTTTAAAAGCTAACAAAGTCAATCCTCCTCCCACACAATATCAATAAAAGGAACATATATTCACTGAAGGAAATAGTTAAAATAGTGGCACCATAAAAACAAGCAGAAGGTTTTTGGGGTGCTGGCTATGTTCTTTTTCTTGATTTCACCCTAAGTTTCACAAACTCACCGCCCTTTGTGTTAACCTGTTATGCTTCCATAACAAGTTACAAAGTGAAATATTCTGAGGAAGGAAAGACCACATTAGATGGCTTGACCAGCTAATTGTTCTAATGATCTGGTGGTGGTGGGGCAGTTACACAAAGCTTACACAAACCCTTTCACAGTACAGGACATGGGGAATAATTCCCGACTCATTTCATGAGGCCAGCATAATCCTCATACCAAAACACCCAAGCTTATTGCCAACATCAGACAATCAATGTCAGGTACGTTCCTTTGAGAAACATAGATATAAAGCTCAAAAGAAACTATTGGCCAAACAAATTCAACAATATGTTTAAAAGTAATAATAACTAAGGTCAAGTGGGCTATTTCTCAGGACTAGAAGGCAGGAAGAAACACGCTAACAGGCTGTGTCTGTAAGTTCCCTCCTGTTTCTGAGACAAAACTCCCAGCAAAGAATGGCTGATGGAATGGACCAGATATAAGATAAATAAGGACTCAGCAGGGGTTGCTAGGAATTGATTGCTGATCCATGATATATCTGGCTTGTCCACAATGTTTATTATAATAAATCTGAAATTGTACTTTACAGCATCTATTAAGATGATATTGTGTTTCTACTTTTTTCTGTGAATATTTTGAATTACACTCACTTTTATTGTTAAATTACCCTGTGTAATGGCCCATGCCATTGATCAGACTTATGTGACAGTCGAGTCTTGTCCAGCACCGGTTTTACCAATGATTAGTAAAAGATGCAAAATAAGAGCGATCATACCTTCTACACCAATATCTGAGATGCCCTGACTGCTGCAATTCAGCCCTCTGAGCTCCCGTTTCCCACTCAGAGGGAACTCTGGGGACAGGTTAGCCCAGGAAAACAGCTATGTTTGATGACCACTTAGCTTCTATATCCTGCAACTCAGGTAGCCCTGCTCCGGAGAAGCGGGTAGCTTCTATCATTCAGTGCAGATGCAGCCTGCAGATTTCAGAAAGTTAAAATCCTGAAGCTCTTTAGAATAAATATAAGATGATATCTTCCTGAACTTGGGGGAGGCAAAGAAATGTAAAGCAAAACAGACAATGCAAACTGTGATTGGAAATGCTGATGAGTCAGACTACACTAAGATTAAGAACATCTGTTCCTCAAAAGATCCCATTAAGAAAGCAAAAATGAAGCCACAGTGTCGAAAAGAACGTCTGCGATACATACGTCTGAGAAAGGGCTCCTGTCCTGAACAAAGAATGAATTCCCACAAATAACTAAACAAAAGACAATCCAGTAGAAAAAAATGGGGGAAACTCTTGAAACTCCCTTCACAAGAAAAGGATGTTCCAAATAAATATATGAAAAGCTATCCAACTTCCTTAGTCATCAAGGAAATGCAAATTGAAAGCTACAATGAGATCAGATTATCTATAAGCTGGAATGTCTGATACTGAATTAGAGACAAGCAGGTGAGTAGGCAAAGCAATGAGATCACTCACGCACTGTGGTGGGAGCATAATCAGAACAAGCCTGTTAGGAACCTGACCGTATCTGCTAAAGCTGAACATCTGCAAATTCCAGGACCCAGCAGGGCTCTCCAGAGAAACAGGAGATATCCACATCTATACCTATATCCATACCTATAGATAATCATGTAAGCTCTATACATCGCATACGTACGGCTTTTATATGTAAATGTTCACGTACAGGGTGGGGCAAAAGTAGTCTTACAGTTGTTTGTATGGGAAGTAATACAATAATTAATAATAAAAGAATAATATAAGAATAAACTGTTTCGAGTACTCACAACTGTAAACCTACGTTTGTCCCACCCTGTATTCATATATATACATATTCATCTATATATTCATATATATATACATACACACACATATATGTCATGATTAGGGTTTTCTGGTCTCAGTTACATGGAAGGGGATATTTTTCCAGGCCCTGGATTTATGCGGACATCTCCATTCCAGTTCCCCACCCCTCACAGACACAAGGCCAGGTCACGTCCTGGAGGGGAGGGAGTGTTAAAATTTCAGACGCTTAACTGTGGAGCCCATGCCTAGGTTTGTCTCTCTGCTGGGCTGTGTCAGCAGCATTAGCTTGTGAGTAGCTCACTCTGGATTTGTTTCTGGCTCCTGCCTTTCTAAGCTTGAGTATTTATCCATTTCTCTTGTTTTAGTTACCATTTCTTTATGTTAGAAATGGGAGTGAGAGAGGGACCTGTCAGCCCTACTCCCCAAATGTGCTACACTCCTTTCTTTATTTTAAAGATGAAAAAATTGAATCCCACAGATAGGGGTGATGAGAGCCAAACTCAGAGACTGACTTACTGGCACAGCACAGACTGGAATTTACTTCTCACGTGTCAGTTCTAAATTGTAAACAGAGCTAGTGAGTACATTGTGCTTGTCAGTCTTCCCAGCACTGAGCAGAACACAGGGCATAAATAAATGCTATTGACCTGCTGTCCCACCGGGAAGTGGTTTATTTCTAGGTTTCTGATATTATGGGGTACAAGGGAGGCAAGGAAGCAGTTATGCCTTCAGGAACATGGTCCCAATGACCATACTGAAGATATATGAATTCCCTGGGCCCCTCTGGGCTCACATCCCTCTAGAACGGAAGGCAGGGCTCTTAGGCCCTTTCAGGACACGTGTAGGACAGCCAGCACTGCCATCACGTGGCCAGTGGGCATGGTGTGCCAGAATCTCCCAGCCCATGCTTCCTTTGCCTCCTCTATTCTGCTGTTGGGTTTTATTTGCCTTCTCTGACTCCCTTTCCTCCAGCAGCCAACACCCCGTTCTCATTCCCCCATCGTGTGCCAGACTGCCACAGATGGTGCGTGACCCAGCAGCCAGATGAGGCTAAGAGTACGCCTGTCTGCTCCCCAGTAAGCATGGCCCTGGTGTCCCCTTCTCCTGGCTGAACGCCTCCTTGGAGGCAAGCCCAGGCCAGCTGTCACCTCTTCCATGAACCCTTCTCCCTACTGGATCCTTCCTTCCTTTCTTCAGGATCCTTTCACGGTCGTCAAAGCCCATAGTGATGATTTGTTTATACATGTAGCTGTTAACAGGTGTGGCTTTGCTATAAGACACTTCACTGCAAGGCTGTCACATTCCTTTATTTTTCCAAATCAAGTAACTGGCTCAGTTGTCCATTCCTGCTGCTGGGGAAAATTCAAGGGCAGTCACGTCTTAACGTTCCCTTCCCTAGTTTTGGCGTCATCCAAGAATTCAGTGTCTTACACAGTTCAGAAATGTGGGCATTGCCTCTGCTGGCCCACAGTGGCTGAGCTCCTAGTACGAGCAGATGCTCTGGGGCCTGAAGGAAGGCCAGCGGCAGCGCCCCCTACTGGGCGCAGGGAACCCTGCTGCACTCAGCTTTCTGCAACCTGCTTGCTGTGAGCAAATGAGACAGAGCTTTCTGCCACTGTTGAAGGCCCTCCTCAGTCCCCTTGCCCCTCTTCCAGAACTATGTCCCCTCCTCAACACCTAGGTCTTGACTTGGCCCCTGTCTCTCCTTGACTGGTGTCCTCTCCAAGCATCCCCTTGGCACTTAACTCTCTCCCAGGCTTGCAAATAGTCTAAATCACACCACTGACTTCCAGCAAGAGGGTGGGAGTTAACTTTTCAATCTTTTGACACTCCTTTAAAAGAGGATGGCACATAAAGAGGGCATCCACCGGGGATCCCGTCATACACTTTTGCAGCCTCTCTCCCCAACCCTGTAGAATGCCTCCCTGGTCTCTTCGCCTCTCTTCTGGGCACGTCCAGAGCCTGGCTGAGAGTCAGGCTGGCGATGCTGAAAGAACATCTGGATCTGGTAGGAGGTGGGAGGGGGCTTCCTCTCAGGTCCGTGTCTTCCGGTTGGAGAGACTTCGGAACCTGTGGGAGCCCGGTTCCGGGTCGCTGTCACCCAGCCACCAGCGCGGGAGGGGACTGGACCCCAGAATAGTCCCGGCTTTCTCCCAACGGCTTTGTCCCAGATCAGCTTCCCTGAGAGTGAGAGGGAGCGGAGTGGGAACAAAGAGAGCCCGGCCCTGGACCTCGCCCTGCATAGTCTGATGTGCCCTGCGGAGGGAGGGCTCCCTGGAGACGGAGGCGGGGCGGGTGCACCTCCCACTTGCACCGCGGGCTGCAGTTCCCCCAGCTGCCTGCTGGGGTGGGGGCCGGGAGCGGGGCTCGTCACGTGGAGAGGCTGGGGGCGGGCGAGGCCGGGGTGCGCTCAGCTCTTTAAAGGAGCTGGAGCCGGGAGAGGCGGCTCGGCGGCCGCAGGAGCAGGCGGGG